TATCTGTTTATCACAGTTAGATAAACAGTACTTAAAACTTTACTGTTTGAGACATTTTCATAGTAAACAGTATGTATCACAATATTTTGACACAGACACAGTGCACTAGTAGTGCCATGTTTAAAACCAGCCATCAAAAATTCTGCACAGAACATTTCTTATCGCTGTTGTCGGAACAAAACCTCGTATCTCCATTTTTGCCGTTTTTCAGTTTTTGACATAATTTGAAAATACTTTTTGCCCTTTACATTGTATGTAAATTTCCGTATGAGTGGACTAAAAGAAACGGCCCAAAATGACTTGGAAAAAAGTCTGGTTCCATTGACTTACATTAAAAGTAAAGTAGGTTTTTTCCCTTTTCCTGTAAAGTTCTCATTTTGGAGAAGCAAGGTTTTGCTCAGACAACAGCATTATATTGTTCTGTACTAAAGCCAGTGAAACCAGATTAAGTATTTTGTCTTTTTGATCAAACAGACAGTTAGTATCCATTATATGTACAGAAAACCATGCGCATCATGATAATAAAATCTATCATAGTAACAATAAAATATCGTCATATTGCCCACCTCGACGTGAGAGAGGGGGAACTGAAAGGATGTATAGCTGTCAAGAAGCTTTTACTGAGAAAAGATGAACATATGCACTAAAACATCAAAACTGGACCTGAGATGTGAAGTAAGGTTTTATGGACTGGTGAGTCTAAATCTGTGATGGTGAGAAATAGAAAATGCAACCAACTTCTAAGACTGAACTTTGGAGGTGTGGAGAAATATTCCTGCAAATTTGTTTGAAGAAGTCTTCTGAAAAGAATGGAAGCTGTAATAAAGGCGAAGAGTGGACACACTAATATCTAGAAAAGGTATATTTAGTTGTTGAGGCTTGTGTGTGATTTTCTGGTAAATATGTTTTCTGCTTTTTTCCTGAAGCAGAAAAATCAATATTTTGATTAATATATATTAATATAATGTGAAATGACGTAAATGAAAGGTGGTCTCTGACTTTTGCGCAGTGCTTTACTCTGTTGCTCCACCTTGTAGATGTAAAGTTGGAGACAGCAGCTCATCTGTTGATAGACAGTTTGTGTTAGTCATCCTCGATTTCTTCATCACCGGTCAATTTCTGGCCACAGGATACTTTTAGGTGGATGTTTCTGGCTGGTGGACTGTTCACAGTCCAGCAGTGACACTGAGCTTTTTAAAAACTACAGAAACACTGCAATCCACTCTGTGCAGCAGACACTCAGTACCACGCCCGCCACCCAAATAATCCCTGCTCTGTGGTGGTCCTGTGGGTGTCCTGACTGTTGTTGAACAGGGTAAAGAACGCTTAACAAATCATACAGAGAAACAGATGGGCCGCAGTCTGTAAGAGCTACAAAGTGCACCTACATGGTAATTGGATGTGATTAAATGCACACTAAGTTTAGATACAAGGTAGGCGTACCTAATGAAGTGGTCAGTGCGTATATAAACAGTAGTGTGCCTGCTTAATGCTCTTTCCATTAAACACAAATCACTGTTTTCCCCTACTGCTTCACCCTGCTGTCTGACCTTCACTGCAGACTCTCAGTCTGAGTGTCAGTAATCTGGTGGTGTGCCCCCTCTCACTCGCTTTTAGACCCTCACCACACTTACAGCACTTTTACCAACTGCTAAATCCTTTTTTTTTGGTCACATTAGCAGCCGTGATAGCCGGCCTGTCTTACTGTACTTAGCACTGTAGCAGCACGTTAGGTGTGGTTTGCATATTATTTATTTTAATGCTGGATTATCACCCACTGCTGCCAGCTGGTGCTGTCTTCATAATCTCCCTCAGAGCTGCAGAGCTTTATGAATATAGGCCAGGGTCGCCGGCCATGCGTACAGTTACAGTCTGTGAAAATATCTAAACTTAACCTGGTCTGTAGATACAAGGTGAATTAAAGTGTCTGGCTACCTGTAAATGTGACTGTATGTAACCACAAAATTATTATTATTATTATTATACACAATTTGAGTTGAAGCTAACAAAAGAAGTGTTATCTTTGCTCGGTCATGTCAGCAAATCCACAATATTAGCGCATTTCATGTAATAAACATTCTGTGATGTAACTTTTAGAGGCATTAAACTCTTCAGATGCCTAGTTCTTATTATCACCGCTGTGAACAATTCTGACTCAGTAAGAATCATTAAAACGGAGCGTTTCACACCAAACCACTCTGAATGAGTTTGTTTACATCTTAACAATTTAATTATGCAGAAATCATTGGCAACCCTGGCAAAGGTCCAGCTTTATCCCTATTGTACATACACAGTTCAGCACAGTATGCGTGTGTGTGTGTGTGTGTGTGTGTGGAACCAGCAGACTGTTTTGCATTGCTGCACTCATTTACTCCACTTTGTGACGTTAGTAATGTTACCTCAGGGAAAATTTCTGCCATCACAGCCATTTGACGCACACTAGGGAGTCCTCACTTTGACAGAATGTTTCTTCTACTCAGAAATGTTCCTGTTGTGTCGCAGGTTTACGTTTGTTAACATTTTCCCTGGTGAGCTTGGCAATTAGAGTTGGGTGATTTGGCAAAAATAATGCAGTATTTCAAGAAATAAATACACGATACACAATATTTATTTTTTCAGACATTTGATCAGTTGTAAGTGTGAAAAAAGAGCTAGTAGAAATCTGATTAAGAAGTCCAAAAAAGAGAAATTTTAGCTCAGTAATCAGATTTCTCAGTGCATGTGAACTCTTACACTGATTTCTTTCGGATTTCTCAGTCTGCGCGTTTGTGAAAATAGACGTTGGTACCGGAAGTAAGCAGCGTCGCCGTGAAATGCAGTGAAACCAAATACATGTTTGACGAAATGAAGGATTTAAATGTTCTTCATCTTCTAGACGATGCATTTTCATATTTCAGGTAAAGTTGTGTGATGTTTTTTGGGGGAAGAAAGCCACGGCATGAAGTTGGAGTTTTGAATTACGTTTACATCACATCGTCTTCTGTGAGTTAATTGACCAGTTGCAAAACAGAAATCTGATTACTGCCTGACTCATGTAGACCCAGAGTTTCCCATTATCTGATTACTCAAGTGCATATAAACACATTGATCAGATTCCTGACAAAATCTGATTTTCTGCAGTTATCAGATTATTGAACACTCAGATTTTTATTCAATATTTGGCATATACTGTGTTGCACTAAATTCAGTTAAACGAGACTAGTTTTGCCACGATTTGCTCAGAAAAGCACACTGTATTGTATCGTGACATAATTTATCACAATAGTGATATATGTTCTCGTACCGCCCAGCCCTTTTGGCAGTGCCGTCCAACACAGAGCATGGAGGACTTTCCATTTTTGAGACATAAAATAGATACGGTTGCCAGGTTAGCCCTGTAAAATTCCTGGACACTCGGTCAGCGGTTTACAGCTATTCTCAGTGTCAGTGGATGGGCAGCAGTTCTCACAATGCAGTATGATGGATGTCAGTTCAGCTACAGAACCCAACCTTCTTAGATCTTCTCACAACCTTGTAGGGAGCAACAAACATGACCTCCTTTTTTAATGCTTAATGTGCTTGGTTTCATATATTATTAGCAACATTAACTTTCTGCATTCATTCTATTCACCATTCTATTCTGGCATGCAGAGCAGTACCTGTGCGCTCTGGTAGAGTTCATAACTAATATGCACCTTATAAACCTCATTGTGGGATTACCTGTGGCTTGAAAAACCTTCAAGCTCTGTTTTTCCAATGAATGACAAACAGTGTTGATCTCTGAGTGGTTTGTCAAAGCCCATGACAAGAAAATGAGAGGGCATTACGAGGATAAAAGAAATCACTCAGTGGCACATTCCTGCGCGTCTGCGGTTCACCAGACTAGTCTTTCTTTAAAACTGCGCCGAAACGTCCTCTAAAGGTGTGCTTTTACCCCAATTCTTCATTCTGCATCGCTTCACGCATCACTGCCTCAGAGTTATGGCTGAACACGACACTGTCTGGAGCTGCTTTTAAACTCTAAGCAGTTTGGATGTAAATGTTCTGTGTTCTTCTACAGCTGCCAAGAGCACTGAACCCAAACACCCTCAAACAAACTCCAAACACTTTGTTTTGCCACACAGGAATACAGTTAAATGAATGTCATTTATTTCAACAACATGGCAAGATGATACATCTAACATACAAGTTGTTGCGATTGTTGAATTTCTGATGAACAGTGCAGTCGTTTTTTCTGTTTGTAGAAGTTTTTTTTCTACAATAAATAAGCCTAATTCAGTGGTACAGCGACATGAGACATGATTCACAGACCAACAGTCTTGATACACTGCAAACAGTTATGTCTTGGCAAGTGAAATCATCTTAAATCTACTTGATGCATCTAATATTTCTCATTTTGAGAGCGTGATAAAAGTATTATAAGATATTTCAACTTCTTTTTACTCACTTTAGGTGTGTTATTGTGTAATTCCACTAACAGATGATCATGCTTGTTTTAAGCACTGTTTCCTGACTAAAATGACTCAAAACAAGTACAAAACAAGTAAAAAAAAAATAAGTTGACTGATCTTATAATATTCACACAACAATCTTATAATGAGAAAGGTAAGATATATTGACTAGATTTAAGATGTTTTACTTGCCAAGATATCGTTTTTGCAGTGTAGTCTCTTTAAATAGGCTATATACATAAAAACATAGTTATAGGCCTTTTAAAGGGGAATTCCTCAGATTTCTTTTCAATTTCTGCTTAATTACATAATTGAGATGTAAACAAAGTCATTCAGAGTGGTTTGATGTGAATTGGTTCATTGTAGAGAAACTTACAGACTCAGATTTGTTTACAGTGGTGGGGATGGGAACCAGGGGTCGCCATGTCTACAACACAGATATTGCCATTTTGTTTACTATCCAAAACCAGCAGTTGTCTCCTGAGTTTTTGGTGGTAAAATAGTGGTAAATCTGCAAAAATGTTTTCTTTTGGGACTATTTTGCCTTACAATGCCCTGCACGTACCTCTCCACCATGAACACATTTTACAAAGTATGTTTAAACTTCTACAAACTCGTACAAGTGTATATGTATGTGAGTGTATGTTATAACTTTCTGTGAGGGAGCTTTTAGAGGTGGACGTCTGGTTCCTATCACCAACACTGAACAATTCTGACTTTGTAAGTTTCTCTAGAACAGAGCATTTCACACCAAACCACTCTGAATGACTTTGTTTACATCTTAACTTTCTATTTATGCAGAAATATAGAAAAATCTGCATTTCCCTCTAAGTCTAGGAATGCAGCACACACTCGGTTGGTTAATCAGTAACTATTTGGTGAGTAGCACGTTACAAGCAGATTCCAGTGGCTTTTGTGAGAGGCAAGTTCGATTTAACTATACATACATTTCACATATGATTCTCTCTTAAGGTGGTGATGCGCAGTGCATGGAGTCATTTGAGGCATAATATTCCCTGAGTTCCTACTAGGGCTGCACAATATATCGTTTAATATTAGCTTTTACTCTACTGATACTGATAGCTGCAATATGCAGATGAATGATCTACCCAATCTCAGAATTTGCTGTGTACTATCCTGACCAATCACAGATGATGTTATTGTATCTGTGGTCACAGTAATGCAGGCTGATCTTTAACCATGTCCCATCAAGGGTTCAGCACTAGTTTTAAAGGCGTATCGCTGATGATGATATGTAGCAGTATAATCGCAATACAATATTTGTGTCCATATCGTTGAGCCCTAGTCTGAGCTGCTGCTCCCTTTATCCACGGGTCACACTAGTGACTCGCACACAGGCGGGTTATCCGAATCTTGGCTGTGCATGGAGCTCAGTCCCGTGTCCGAGTCGTCGTCATTTCCGCCGCCGCAGCTTTTCGAAAGTCCCCTCGCTTCCTCGACCCAGCCGGCACTCTTCTCAGCAGCAGACTGGACCACAGGAGCATCTCCTTCCACCTCTTCCTCTGCACCCTCAGTCAGAGAGTGCACTTTCTCCAGCAGGTCCCTCAGCTCTTGGTCTTTGGCCTCCCACAGTTCCCGGCTCATGTCCAGGTCGCTCTTGACCGCCTCTAAATCCGTGTTCAAGCGGAGCCCAATGTACAGGCTTGTGTCCAACTGGGTTTTGATCCTTTCTTCTTCCAGCTGCAGATCGTTGTCTGAGAGAGTCTCCACCTGAGGAACGTTTGCCGGGTACGCCGGTGTCTCCTCGGTTACACTCCCTGCGTCTTTGTCCTTCAGCTCCTTCAGCTCCTCTCGCCGCCTCCGCATCCACCTGTGGTTGAGCTCTTCCTCGATTTCGCCGGTCAGCTGCTCCAGCAGGGCTTCACGCTCGGCCAGCTCCTCATGGAGCCTGATGACCTCGTCCCATCTCGCTGCGTACTCCTCAAACTGCTCCACCCGCTCCTCTTCCGCCGCCGCCTCGTCCTGCTCCGGGCTGCTTTCAGCCAAGTACGTGTCCTGCACGTAGTTGACCCCGTGTATCCGGATGCGGTCCAGGTGCACCTTGGCCTCGTATCTCTCGATCTCGCCGTCCAGCTCATGGATGCGCTCCAGCTGCTGCCGGATGGTGTGGTCCTGGGACACCACCAGATGCACGAGGGTCTCCATCCTCTCCGCGGACACTGACATTGAGGTTCTGTCCCGTGACGCGTGTCTCTTCCCCTCCTCCTCCTCCTTCTCCTCCTCCTCCTCCTCACCTTCCCCTCTGGCCTGCTTCATCCTCTCCAGCTTCCTGAAGGCTTTGCGCACCACGCGCCGCTGCCTCTCCCGCGAGCATGTCGCCGCGGGCGCGCTCTCGCGTTCCGGCGCACGTTCCCGGCTCTCCGCGCTGGACACGACGCGCGCCTCGGCGCTGCGCGCGCCGCCGCTCGGAACGGACGCGTCGCTCCTGACCAGCACAAAGCGTACGTTCTCGCGCTCGCGGCCCCATGCGCTCCACAAGCGCAGCAGGCGGGTGCGCGCGGGCAGCGCGCGCTCGTAGCCGCGCCACTTCTCCACGATGCAGTAGGAGCGCGGGGAGACGGCGGAGCGCTGGTCCTCCAGCAGCGCGCGCACCACATCGGCGCAAGTCGTGCGTCTCGACAGCCCGGACACGAGCTTCTCCTCGCGGCAAACCCACACAGACACCTTACACTCCTCCTGCTCCATCTGACTGTCCTCGTGCTCCATCAGCACTGAGCGCACCGAGCACGCGACGACCCCACTCACATCCTGAATCCGTTCCTCACGCGCTTAGTTTACATTAATTTACAGATCTGGCCAAAAACAATAATAAAAAAATGAAGTTCCATAAAGTTCAGATCCTCGTTTATTCCCCGGTGAAGGTCTCGAGCTGAAGCAGCTGCAGCTCCGTCTCTCTTCTCAGCTCGCGGCTCCTGCACCTCCGACTTTCAACTGAGCGCAAGCCACGCCCCGTCCACATCTGCGTCACGTGACCCTTCACACCCGTATTCCGACAAGCCGTGCTGCTAAAATCATGTTCGCCGGTAGAGGCGGGATATGTTGGAATACGGGTATGGAAAAAATATGCCCTGATTAAAGCAAAACGTTTCAGGATTAAAGGGGAACTCCACTGAATTTCGAAATTTCTACACATTTAAATGGTTTAGATGTAAACAGTCATTCAGAGTGGTTTGGTATGAAATGCTCTGTTCCAGAGAAACTTACAGAGTCAGAATTGTTCACAGTGGTGGTGATAGGAACCAGACGTCCTCCTCTAAAAGCTCCCTCACAGAAAGTTACTACATTAAATAGTTATGAATGAGCTGCCTGATGTCTAAGATAATGTTTTACAATGTTTTTGAAAAGGTTTTGGCTTAAAATGTAAAATGTGGTCCCCAAAAAACATCAGATTTAGCACTATTTTACCATTATCAACATTACATATTAAAACTGAACATTTTTAACAGTTTATCTACAAAGCACCATTTCACATCAAACCACTCTTTAAAGTGACTGAGTGACTTTATTTACACCTCAATGATTGAGTAATGCAGACATTCTGAAAAATTGGTGGATCAGTCAAATCTGTTTTCACGTAAATGATACTGGTGATGACTGAAGTAAGCAGAAATGACCCCCAACAGCCAAAACCATGACAGCGAAACTGCCTCTGGTAAATTTGGAGCTCATAGTTACATCTGTAATAAAGATTTATCTGTTAGATCCTCCACTCTGCGCTCTCTGTGAGCTCAGGCTCTTCAGAATCCTCCTCCCTGTGTGTTTTAGCAGCACTTGTAGACGGATTTATCTGCCGTTTCCAGCACTGTTATCCAGTCGTGCATGAGATAATGTGTTGACCGTGAGCAGAAGATGCTGCGGTCAGGCAGGATTTAGCCATCTGCAAAGCAGAAGCCAGTTTCGCTGCTGAAATGGGGCCACGAAGCTCAGCCAGCGATATGAGTGTTTTTCTCCATCATCTGCAGAGCTCTGAGAAACAAAGCCCTCAGAGCTGAGACCGATCGTTTAGATGTGACACAGTCATTTGTCTTGATTGTTGTGTGATTTGTTTCAGATTCAAAACACAAACAGACCAAATAAAATAATGAATAAATTAATAGCCAAAATACTTTTTCTCACAACAACCAGGACAAAACGCCCCATAGAGTATCTCCCTCCCTCATTTCCCTTCAGCGGAGATGAAAGAGCTAATTTTTATAGGTCTGAGGTAGATTTGTTAAAGAGGCAGATTTGTGTGGGATAATCCAGCATAAAAATGTGCTGGTGTCATTTTTTAAAGTATAGCGCCATCTTGTGGTTGTGTTCAGTAACACGTTTGAATGAAAAATACAGTTGAAAGTTTTGTATTATAAACTTTTGTATTAACAGCTCAACTTCTAAACAGCCTTTCTCACCAAATTCACCTGATTCATGACTCATATGCTCATCTACTCTCCCAGTAAAGTCTACAGTGCTGTGAAAAAGTATTTGCCCCTCACCTGATTTCTTCAGTTTTTGCTGATTTGTTACAATTTAATGTTTCAGATCCTCCAACTAATTTTAATATAAGACAAAGACAACAATAGTAAACACAAAATGCAGCTTTTAAGTGATCATTTAATTTATCAAAGATAAATATTTATTTAAAAAGCTATCTAACCCATGTGAATAAATAATTGCCCCCGAAGCCTAATAACTGGTTGAGCCACCTTTGGCAATAACAACTGTAATCAGACATCTTCGGTAACTTGTGGTGATTTTTCACATCGCTGTGGAGGAATTTTGGTCCACTCTTCTTTACAGCATTGTTTTAATTAGGCTACACTGGAGGGTTTTTGGTCAGCAGTGGTTTGCACCTTACAACTCTTGTGGATGCCATTTTTGTCCAGTGTCTTTCTTGTTGTGGAATCGTGTATGTTCACCTTAACTGAGGCAAGTGAGGCCTGCAGTTCTTTAGATGTGCATCTGGGTTCTTTTGTGACCTCCTGGATGAGTCTTTGTCTAATATTATTCTAATATTATTATTCATTCAAGTGTGGCAAATATGCAAAAAAGAAGAAGAAATTGGCAAGGGGCAAATACACTGCACTGTACATGCAAATTAGATTCTCCAAATTGTACAGATGGTGGGCACGTTGACGAAAATGGCTGGACATAACTGGACTACATATTTTGTTTTATGTATATATTGTTATTGTGCTGCAGGCATCAGTTTTAGGGGGTAAACTAACGTATAGAGATGCTCATGGTGGACAGACTGGCTAATTTTCTTGTTAAACACACACTGTCTGCTGCAGCTTAGACCTTCTTTCTATGCTGTCTGTGGCTCACTTGTTTTTAAGCATTAACAAATTTGATAATCTTCAACGAAATCAAATTCGATAATAAAATAAATATACACCGATCAGGCATAACATTATGACTTATGGATCATTCTCAGCACTGCAGTAACACTGACGTGGTGGTGGTGTGTTAGTGTGTGTTGTGCTGGTCTGAGTGGATCAGACACAGCAGTTCTGCTGGAGTTTTTAAACACCTCAGTGTCACTGCTGGACTGAGAATAGTCCACCAACCAAAAATAGCCAGCCAACAGCGTCCTGTGAGCACTGATGAAGGACTTGAGGATGACCAACACAAACTGTGCAGCAGCAGATGAGCTATCGTCTCTGACTGTACATCTACAAGGTGGACTGACAAGGTAGGAGTGTCTAATAGAGTGGACAGTGAGTGGACACAGTGTTTAAAAACTCCAGCAGCACTGCTGTGTCTGATCCACTCAGACCAGCACAACACACACTAACACACCACCACCACGTCAGTGTTACTGCAGTGCTGAGAATGATCCACCACCCAAATAGTACCTGCTCTGTGAGGGTCCATGGGGGTCCTGACCACTGAAGAACAGGGTAAAAGGGGGCTAACAAAGTATGCAAAAAAACAGATGGACTACAGACTACAAAGTGCACCTATGTAGTAAGTGGAGCTGATAAAATGGACAATGAGCGAAGAAACAATGAGGTGGTCATGTTATGCCTGATCGCCGTATATCCAGTACACGTTTTTATAATTCTGCCCACAAATTCTTGTTTTTGGCCACAGTATAAACTGTCTCGGTGGTTCAAGTTGTCCATGCAAATTATGTCTGTCGACTCCTGAATAACATGATTCTTTTTTCAGTTATAAAGCTGATGCAAAATGATTGTATTCCTTAGGGAGCCAATATTTGCCCAGGGCTGATTGTGATATTTTATGCATGGTCTTAGCAGTAGGCCCTTAGCCCCCCCCCCACACACACACACACACCCCCTGCCTCCAAAAATAAAAACGTTTCAGCAAACAAAAAATTTTCATTTTTTTATTCAAGAGAAAATATTGAAAAAAGCCAAAATAGCTATTTGCGGTACCAAACGAACACAAACACAAAGTTTACTTTCATTATTTTGTGCCATCCCTTCATCTGAAAGAGAAAAAAAGACATAAGCAACACCTGTACAGAAGAATTTTGAGATACACAATTTTATTTTACATACATTTCCCATCTTAATAAAAAAAATGAACTTAAGCTCATTTCAGTTCTTTCTGAACAAGCTTTCACTTAAAAGCAAACACATCATATGATCACACACTAAAAGGTACCAGTACCTACATGGTGACTTAGACAAAAACCAAAAACTGGAGCTTGACACCGACAAGCTGTCCATACTCAAATTCCGGCGTTGGGCCGACATCTTCTACCTGCAGCACTTACACATGATAAACAGGGCCGGTCAGTGCTGTATATCTCATTACAGTATTATATACAGCTGTGTGTAGTTCAGTAGTGCTGGTGTTATTCGTCCCTGGAAAAACGCTGCAGCTGTGATATCAAATGGCCTCAGTGTTGGTCACTCTTCCCCAGTTTGTTTGTTTTTTTTTTTCATATCTGCTGGGTTACAAACAGTAAACATCCAAGCTTTAAAGGGATGCCCCAGTGTTTTTGAACCAAATCTCTGTCTGATGCATCTGTAGTGTACGATTGATTACCATAGACCAGTGGTTCTCAAACCAGTTCTAAGCCCCGCAAATGGTCCACATATTTGCCCTTACCTAAAATGCAACATATAGGAATAGAGCAAACTGCAAACTGTCTGGGGGTCCATGATGACTGGTTTGAGAACCACTGCAATAGACAGTTTCCATAGACATACAGCAAAATATTCACTTGCAAAAAAATAACTGAAAACCAGGTCACATTACATTTTCTAAGTGAAAATAATTTAACACATCCGCATACATGGAACTTTAATATGGCATTTTTCTGCAAATTATAGTGTGCAGTTTTAACATACCGGGGGGAAAAATACAACATACATTTGCCGTAACTTTTCATTTCATGTTTTTCCCCACAATATGGTAGATTCAGCATATAAACAGTAGTTGTGTAGAGGATGTGTTAACCTTTCACTTCGAAAATCAGCAAAACGTCATTTGACCAGCACTTAAACATTAAGCCAGTGGGCAGTTCCCAGTAGTAAACTCATGTTTTTGCAGAACTTCTTCAGTCAGAAGTATTACTGACTCCAGCTATAAATCTCTGTAGGTCGTTCTATTGGAGATTCGTTTTCTGGAGAAAAGAATTTCCGGAAAGTCAAACCAGAATGTCTCTCTTTAACTGTGTTGCTCCAGTGTTCAAAATTGGGATAAAACTTGAGAACAGATTTGATAAGATGTTCTCTCATGTCTGACTGTATTATTGGAGTGTAAAAGTCAGATTTTGAGTCAAATATTTATTCATGGGAGTCATAAACTGCCTAAAGGCTTCTATTATATGTGTTTACATTGGACAGGTTCTCTGTTCTTTTCTAAATGTAGGGAATTTTAACAAAAGTATGTGTGTTGTGGTAATCAACCACATGCTGTAGTAGCGTCAGGCACAGATTAGAGAAACGCTGGCGTATTCCTTTAACACTGCTGCTTAATCAGACTCAGATGGTCAGAGTGACTGCTGTGATCAGTGTCTGTATTAACTAATGCGTTATGGAGCATCAAAAGAGACAAACTGATTAATCTGACATAAAAGCATTACTGTAACTGGAATACAGAAGTATCAAACCTCAGAACTACTGTCTTGACGGGCTGAAGTCATTGGACAGCAGTCACTATAGAAACAACGCAAGATGTGTTGTATTAATGTATGTTTGTCTTTAACATTGTGATGAGTCACACTGTTGAATCCTACAACCACTAAAGCATCAACAAACAAAAGCACAACCTTTAACAGGCGCATCGTAAAAAAAAGAAATATATATGATGACATGACAACATAACTCCATACATCTGCCTTATTTCTTACAGATGACGTTGCTGTTTTATAGGATTAGGTGTTGTGGTGTTCCCTTTGCCTGGACTTTGTGATTTTCAATTTCCTCCTCGTTTGAGCTGGAAAAGTCCACACCAAAGGCACTTTTATGGTGCAGCACATGAGCTGCACTGAATTGACACGTTGCAATATTTTTGGTGTACTACTGAAAGGCAATATTAGTCTGTCGGCCTGTCCCAAAGCCCACACTTCAGTTTTCTGGTGATGTTAACATTATTCCTTGTTATCTTCTAAAGACAGTGTCAGAATGATGCATTGTGGGATGCAGTTGTATGCAAGTTTGTTTTGTTGAATTTCTGTGAAATTTGAAGTGAATTTTATGTGTAAATAAGTGAACACATCCTCTTCAGAGAACACACTTCTGCACATTTAATACACAATTACTGTCTATTTGCTGAATTTAACATACTTGAAAAAGATTAAACAAAATTCAGCCTTTGTAAAAGTTATGGCACAATTATATTTATGCTAAACTCAGCAAAAAAAATATTAATTTTGCACTAAAATTTGCCACATTTAAATTTGTTCTGTGTGGAGGACGTGTACTTCCATGCACTGTAAATATCAACAAAACATAATTTGACTGGGGATTTTTTAAACTACATATTTAGCTCAATACCCCTTTGATGTGGTATGTGAGAGAGAGTGTGTGGACTTGCAGACTGCACTTCTGTATGTTTTAGAAATCGGACACTTACAACCTTAAAAAGGGGCTCTTTTGTAAAGGCAGTGGTTACATGTTGAACCATGAACGCTGCCATAACCACTTGAATGCATAAATCATTCTTTGCATGGCTGGTTAAATGTACAACTTGTTGTTAATGGTACTTTACAAACCTTTTAAAAAATATTATTTGTATTCTGTTATTGTTACAAGTCATGAAGTCCTTTTAAGTACTATATAAACCCCTTCTTGTTAAGAATGTAACATGCACAAAGCACACAACGCCGCAAGTGTGAATTCTGGGACAGGCCGACACTGTGCGCAACTTAGCCTGACACAAAGACATTATGCATCTCACTATTTTGTACAGGATGGATTTACAGCTATAGATATTTATATACTTTTCCCCAGAATAGAACTGGACAAACAGATTTTGCATTAAAAAGTCTAAGGCACCATAGACTAACTTTGGCTATGTTGCTGTGTTTACTTCTATCCAGTTATGTGCTTTTTTTCAACATTAGGATTCACATTCACAGCTTTATCTGGAGAAAAAGAGCGATAAACTGAAGGCTCAACAACAAGGTAAAGGCAATGGAAAATGTCAGAGGGCCCATCAGGAACAGAATCAGTGCTACACCTCACCCACCTACAGACCCCCTGCACTGCACAGGTCAGTGTTCTCTCTGCTTTAATTAACCCTTAGAGGTTAAGAGTTATTTTGCTACACTACTGAAATAGAAGTAGCTAAATGGCTTACAATCATTTTTTTTCTTTCTGCAAAACAAATCTGTCTGCAGAACAGTAACTTCACCTAATTTGAATCATGATTAAATATCTCATCTTTTACTTACACAGGCCAATTTGGTTTGGACTGAAAGTAAGAAATGATTAATATAAAATTACAACATGCTTCTGTTGTCTCAGTTAACTGTGACTTCTAAGGGTTAACAAGCTCATTCAGCTCATAAGTAGCTGATAAACTCTATAGTACAGGAGAAATGCTGGACTGAGAGCACTGATCTAAACTGGCATCCAAAATAGCTTGATGATTAATGTTGCTACACTACAATGATGCATTTAAAGTGAAACCATGCCCACATAACCACAAGTTTCTACATGGACATCTCTGGCAGTTAATTGTTCAACAGAAGAGAAATCTAATGGTATTTTTATAAATCCATTTTAAAAACCCTCAGGTTCATTTCAGTTGCTCTGTGTCCAAATGCAGTAGCGTTCTGGTACTTATTTCACTTTAAAATGGGCCGACTGTGTTTTGTATGGTACAAAATATTATATAAATGTTTTAGGTTATGCTTAATTGCATGGTTAAGTCACTAAACATGGCTAGAAGTATTTAAGGGAAAAATGTGGGACTGTTGTGTTTATATGTGTTGTTTTTTTGAGTGTCTGTTGGGGAGAAATTTCTTATACAATGTTTGTAAAAACAATATTCTTCAGTGAGATAAAAAATAGTCAGTGTTAAATGAAAAAAGTAACAAAACCGTACCTCCATTTTACAGTCAATCACACCCGTGTAGATTCAGAAAACACAGAACACAAAAAATAATAATAACAGATGTCATTAATAACAGTCCCATCCAGATACGACAACAGCATACTGGATGTTTTGTGTGTTTTCAAGTCCAGAGGCACAGCCACTTCAGATTAGTTTGTTTTGTCACTCAGATGGTCCAGAGAGTCTCTGAGCCTGTCTGAAACCACGACACGTCGCGTCTCTGTGGACAGAGTTAGTGCTGGGCTCCGGCTCTCTCTGACAGAGCTAGGCAGCAGCTCGCTGACCAAGTGTCCTTAGGGTTTCTTTGTGTCTTTGTGTATGTGAGAGAGGCTGAGAGAGGAGGCGTCTCATTCTTTGACCAGTCTGTAGATGTGATGCTGCGCACCGTGCTCACTGTTCGATACCTCAAACACGCAGGCCATACACAGCAGCGTCTCCTGGGTTTCTCTGTTTGTGACCACCTGCAGGAGACAGAGGAACAGTCCATTAATAATTTCACTGTGTCCCCTTTCTCACAGAGTACTATGCAGCTTCACGTTTCAGATAAATATTAGGATAATAGGAAATTGTAAATGAAAATCAGATGTGTCCTGAATTATGAACAGAGTAGATGGTTCTATTATGACTAAAGTTATAATAAAATGAATATCCAGAATATGTCAAAGTGGAGATCAAGGCAGATTATAAAAATGAATGTACAGTATATTTTATCATTTAATAACTTCTTGAGCACAGAACTGGTGAAATATTAAAACATCTAAAAATACCTTTTGGCGAACAATTTAAATCCACATTGATCCACGTTAATATTTCGCTGTTGTCAGAAGAAAACCTTGTATCTCCAAAACTTTACAGGAGAAGGAAAAAACATACTTTACTTTTAATGTAAGTCAAGGCAACCAGAATTTTTTCCAAGTCATTCTGGGCTGTTTCTTTCAGTTCATTCATCATGAAATCTACATACAATGTAAAGGGCAAAAGGTATTTTCAAATTGTCAAAAACTGAAAAACAAAAAATGGAGATACAAGATTTTGTTCCGACAACAGTGCTTTCAGTTCACACTGTACAAGTTATTATTGTATATGGAATGAAACAGTTAATATGGCAAGTAATTCCAAGCTTTTGTACAGTCTTGGCATAAATAAATTGTCAGTATAAACACTATACAACATTAGAGTAAGTACAAATAAGTATAAATATTGACTGGAGATTAAATGTTACTTTTTAAAAAATGATTTGCATCAAACTATTACTTATTATTTAAGTTAAATTTAAATGGCCTTTTAAATCATCTCAGCTGAGATTTGGGCTTACCAGCAGGATGGTGAAGTTCTCCAACACACTGTTCATCATATACTTCTCAGGCAGGTGCTTGAGCTTGTGGATAAAGTTGATCATGTATTCGCACATGGGAGAGCGGTTTATTTTGTACACAAATCGGCCGTTCTCAAAGCGGGCATACTCCGTCTGTGGGGCAGAAAATAATGAAGTAAAGAAGTTTAGATTAACAGAGAGAGAGAGAAAAATGCCTTCACACATCATTTACTGTCTTTACAACACTCCCAGTTCTGCTGAAAAAATGTCAAAAACACTTTACCCAAAAGAACCAACATGGCTAAAAAAAATGAATGAAAGCTACCATATAGTAGCTTAATTACTGGCCTTTTTTTTTTAATGACTTGGCATTTTCTTTGCCCCATTTTAGTCTGCTGCACTACGATGTTATGGCAGTGCTGGACAAACTTCAGTTTCTCACCTCCACTTTCTCCACCACCTGCTTGCCAAAGGAGCACACTTTGGTGGAGCAGGTAATGGTCATGTTGTCTGGACTCTCATACTGACTGGTCACTCCGTAGAACGCACCAGAATCTTCTTGGAGGTTGCAATTAAGGTCCGCCTGAGGATACAGAATTCAGGATACAGATCAACAATATTTCATGAATATTACAAAATTTTCAGCTGTTTAACAGCTGAATTACAAAAAAAAAATCTATCACAGTCAGTTTTAGCTGTTAATAAATGGCCACATAAATAATTTCAATTAACAACTGAATTGTTGTTTTTCACAAACATCACTCAGCGCTGCCCTCCAGAGGCATTATTAAAACAGAAATTCTGAGTTGTGACTGGTAATATGCGACAGTAAATGTGTTTTCTGCTTTCTTTTATTTGTACCCAACTGATGAAAATGCAGCCAATTCAAGTTCTGTTTGCTGTGGTGTGTTTATGACTGAAAGCTAATAACAACGTAATTGCCATCATAACAATGGTTACTAAAAAAGTAAGTTATTTAGAAATCAAAAACTAATTGGAAAAAGTCATTGGAAACAAGTGTAAAAAAGTCTATTCCCTGGTTATCATCATCACCAGCACGTATTATTCCTCCACCCCTCAATAACCATTCTTACTTCGCTGCCACCCAACCTGGACCATAACCACCTTCAGCAGGGACACCTGAAATTCTCATGCCTGCGCACATTGGCTCTCTCATGAACTGAGATGTCAGAAATCTTGTCCATTCTAACATTTAATCCCTCCCAGAAAACCCCTGATAGCTTGTGTAAATCTAGAGACAGTGGCCACCGTCCACTCTGAAGATGTAATGAGTGTGAATCTCCAGAGAGAGGTGCCAGAGGGCCACTGCATGATGGAAAAGGAGAGAGAGATGTGCAGTGGGGTAGGGGGAATGAAGGAAACAGAAAGAGTGAGAATGAGGAATAAAGGAAGAGAATTGAACGAAATAAAGGAAGAGAGAAAAGGGAAAGCATATCAGGGAAAGATAAAGATAAGGACGGGGGGAAGGAGAAAGCAGAGAAATATAGAGAGGAGCGACTGAAACAGAAAGAAAAGGGAAGACAGAGATCATGTGTGCTGCTCTCAGGGGTCTCTGATCTGCAGCACCTGTGGCCCAGAGAGGCAGGTGTTTAAACAAAGCCTCTGTACTGCCTGCAGCCTCGGAGCAGTTACAGCAGCACAGTGCACAACTCTACTGCTCACACCACATCAACAGCCACAGCACTGTCCAGCACTGACAGATGCAGCACCTGGAACACACAGCTTCGATCTAACTGCGTCTTACTGCCACATCAGTGGTACCTATGAATTTAATAACGCTATGACAAAACATTTTTCCACTGAAGCAGTGATGCCAGTATTCAAATAGCAAAATTTTTTCAGGTATTCGTTGCATTTAATCACAGGGGAAACGGAAAATATACAGTTAAAAAAATTCAGTGAAAACACTGTTTTACTGTAAAATGTAGTAGTTTTGCTCATATTTGCATGATATACTTTACTATTCCAAAATGTGAGTTGGCCGATCTGAGGCAACCTCTGTTATGTTATTCATCAGACACAAAAACCTACTATTTTGGCAATTTTGAACACAAAATTTGTGTCCAGTGTTTTCCTCTTAAAGTAAGCCACCTCTTCACTTTAATTTCAGACAAAATGCTTTGCTTTTTTCCCTCTTTGCAGTTAACCAGATATCTGTTCATAAATTCTTGCGGATACTCAAATATCAAAATTCATTACAATGCACATCCCAGCTGTGACAAACAAACCTGTATACAGACACATGGAAGCCCAAGTATTAGTCTTCTACTATGCAGTTAGCAATATGTTTTTTCTTTGTATAAAAGCCACTGGCAGACTAGTAGGATACCAAAATCCATTGCTGTTGCTCTGGATAAGGACATCAGCTAAATGAGTCAATGTAGGAGCCGGTTTTTGCTGTCTTCAGTTCTGTTTTGCTTTGATAAAAACAGACTAAAACTACACTAGAACAAAGTTGTCTTTTGGAGGCATAACTTGCAGTTTAAAGTAATACATCATATTATATTACAGTATGTTATTTTGCAATAACAAACTGTTAAACTACCAACAGAATAGTACTGTGGTGTCTCTAATGATTCCCACCCCTAATGTAACGTGTAAACACTGTACAGGCTGAAGACTCACCCAAAACTTGACCAAGAAGAAGGCATTCTGGGGGCCCTTCGCAAATAGATCCTTCAGGCCTCCTTTCTTCTCAGGGAATTTATCATAGATCTGACGGATGTCCACCGACTCCAGCAGGGGATCACTGTGCAAGTGGTCTGTCTGACCAATGTGTACGAACAGGTGCTTGTTGTACTGCAGAAACAAACTGTTATCAGACTGACATAAAATATTCATGTTTCTTTTTGTTACTGTAAGGTCAGAATGAATTTTGTTTATTACCCCTTTTAGAAACTGTTTATACTGAGACTACATTTAGGCCCAATCCCATTTCTTATTTTTATCCCTAGCCCTTGTTTTCGAGTGTCACCTTGCCCCTTGGAACTGAGTTACAGCAGGTAGTGGTTGAAATCTTCCCTATAAAATGGGACCCTCAAATAAAAAAGAGCATTGCTTCATTAACAGCTACTAGTGCTGCTCTGTAGGTGACCCTGCCAGTCTGCACTGATAGCAGAGGAGGGTAAAGTTCAGCTCCTCACTGCTGGGCTTTAGTTGAAGTTGGGGAATCATGCCTTCAACAAGGGAGGCTACAACAATTATTTAGTATCGCCCACCCTTAATTCTTCGGTGATATGAAGCTGAAGTCAGTTATTCGCCAGCTTCTTGTTCAAATTATCCGTTCCATCTTAAATGGTGCAGCAGTTCTGACCCCTGAGGTGCCAGAATATAACTGCTATACTACTTAAGGTGGAACGGGAAATTTAGCTAGCAAGCTACCGAGACATTGCTGTACTACTATTGATTTTCTATGCTTGTTCTGAAGAAAAGGACCATAATACACTGAAACGACATTAAAGCAAGATTATAGGGCAAGGGGTGAAATGGGATTGGGCCTAAGAATGCAGGATGAAATGCTTATCTCCTTTAACTAATCAGATTTATATTAGTAGTACACTCTATTGACAACAACTGCTGTCCGAACTAGACTAGGATATAGATAAATTAATGAATTGTTGTTCAGGCTTAGAAATCAAGTTTGCTTTTGAATGCAGCAAAGGTTACTGAGTTTGAGAAATTACACGTTTCATATTTCATTAATAACACAACTTGAACTCCTAAGCTTCCAGTTCCCTCCGCCTAGTTTGAAACTTTATTAAATGACAACTGAAGCGAGAATACAAATCATTTCATCTTTCTGTTGTATACACTAGATTAATAGCTGCTGTCACACAAGATGATTGGGAAAAATGTTTCACAGGCATGCTGCCAAAGTGATAGATAGCTGAGGTCTGCTTTTAGAAAAGAAGGAGAGCAAACTTGCAGCGCAGAAGCCATAGGCCTGCACACTTTTACCTTTAGTGCAAGTTTAGAGGGCATGTTCTTTTTTTTTGTGAACAATTTGGAAAAAAAGTCATTTTTGATTTGTGGCACTGCAGAGAACTGTACAACATGCAGCAGACAGGATCTTTTTAAACAGGAGAGGAAATTTCTTTGTTGTTGCTCTAACACACCTTTTATAGTCAACGACTGTGCAGAAAGCCTAGGAACCCGAGAGAATTATATTTAAAAAGCTGTTTATCTGGGCAGTAATAATTAAATATCAATACAACATTATTACAGAAAGTTTTCACTGAACCATTTCCAATCCTCTCCTTGAGGACGTTCAGTATTATATGTAGTTATCCCCTTGGCTCATCAGTCCTTCATTAAATAAAATCAGGTGGGCTGGTGATGGAATTTAACAAATCTATGTCATGGCTGAGGGCACTGAGAAGAAATCTGGGCACAAACCTGTTTTCAAACTAACTCGAAAGATGTCGACAACATTTTGAAAACAGGATTGTTGTTTCACTGCCTTAATGTTTGTTTGCATTTATTCTAACGTTATATAGTGTTTTAACAAGCAAAAAATGCACTTATTGTCCTGGGGCCGTATTACAGGAAATTCTTAAGTCTGAGATCATATCTGTTTTGTTGTCATGGCAACTTCAGTTAAGACTGAAGTCTATAATCTTATCTGAAAATAAGATAAGAAAACGGTATTACAGAAACATCTTAAGTTGCCAAAATATCCTAAATATTTTCTTAACTTTAAGAGAAACTCCAGAGCATCTTAACTTCTGTTTTAACTGTCTGTTTCTACTGTTTTATGCAGTCATAGGCAGCACAGTTCACTGTAAGCAGCATAATGACGTTACATTTTTCTACATTGAAAACGGTGCTTTGACTTGTGAGGTTTTTTTTCTAACAGCGTTTAAAAGTCCCAGACGCTGCAGACACGATCTCCACTGTCCCCTCTGATTACCTTCGTGTGTTAATGTTGATGATAAAATATTACAGTGATGGTGGTGAATAATGAGGAGACGGAGCTGAACGTGTGTCTGTTTATTAGGAGGAATAGCGTTAGCGCGCTCGGCTAAAGCGTTTGGGAGTAAGTTAAGATTTCCTAACTTGAGATAAGAAAAGATGCTGTAAGATAAGATTCTTAAATTAAGATTTGCTTCTGTAATATGAATTTGTGAAAAATCTTATTTTGACCTGTCAGATCTTAACTTGAGACAAAAAGTAATACATCCCCAGATAAATGGTTTTAAAAATAACTGCTTAGGTGCCTAGGACCTCTGCACAGTACTGTGTAGTATATAATGAACATCACAATAATATTATTATTGATTCTAACATTACAAATTTGATGGTGACCTTTGGATCAGTGCCTCAAGATGCATCAGTGCATTATTACACCCCTAAGAAAATTAAAGATCTCTTTGATGGCAGGAATGAGTGAGTATGTATGTATGTATGTATGTATGTATGTATGTACTCACAGAATCTGGGTCTCTTTGCTGCTCCAGGAATGAAGAGAACTCTACCAGCCGCAGTTTTGTTGTGCCAATGGAGCGACCCTGCCATGCTGGTGGACTGGCTGTAGGCGCTGTGGGGGGCTCGAAACCTAACACACAAAAAAAGTTGCTCCCAATGACAATTTGACCACATATCATATTTCTGAACATACTGAACTACGTGAAACAGTATAAATCAATTTACATTAAAGTTTTAATGTACCTGATATAGCGGTGGCTGTCTGAATGGGGTAGGCTTGCTGTGCGAATGGCTTAACGCTGAGTAAACAGACAATTGCAGTGCATGTTACAAAACAACAGCCACTTTTTTCCACTAGTCCACAGTCCTGTGTTCACATACAAAGTAGATTTTTCAGAAACATGTCAGGATTTAGACTAAATTATACTCTATATTGGGATTCTTCATTTTTACCCCATCTTTGTGCAGGACTGTGTCAAGATTCAAAACTATTTTGTTGTTATATGTATTCCAAATACAGGGTGTTCAAAAAACAACACTATAGCAGTATGCATCTACATAAAAAATATAAATCTAAACAGAAGTACACAGGTGGCAATAGTGGGAAAACTGTGTGTGGAAAACTGGCCCAAAGGGTCATAACTGTGGTTTTAAGCATACATGATCTATAAATAGCATGAATAATTGAAAGTACAGGATTAGGGCCATCATGGTTATTCAATTGTACCTAATTACCTATTTAAAACAAAAATACTGATTAAAACTTACAAATCAATAATGATTAGCAATTACACATTGATAATGCATATTTTAAAATCTCCAACTCCTTATTTGCAGTAAACAGAGTCTGATGGACCTTGTTTTTTGTTTTATGTTGTTTTTAAAAATAAAAGGCTAAACATGATTTTTAATTGCTAGTTAAGTTAGTTTTTATAAATTAGCTAATTAATTGATTCATTGTCAAAATAATCGGTAAACAGAGGCTAAACGTTTTTATTCAGTACGTTTTATGGAACATCAAGGAGTTATTAAATGATGAAATGATGAATAATATATTGTAATTGTCTGTTTGTCTATTTATAGTTATCTGCCTTGATCACTTTAAATACAATGGATTATTAATCTTTATTCCCAGTCTGGAACTTCATTCTCACTTTCTACATCATTACAGAATCATCTACGACTGTTCTTCATTCTGGACACATCTAACCTTCATTTTTACATCCTACTACAATTAGATGTGGAGTTGTAGCTCTGTAAGGAAATCGTTTAATATGTGTATCCTCAACAAATTGGTTTTAGATGAGGGCAGCTTTACTCACTCTTGTGAAGATCCCGGATGCCCCGTTGAAAGCTGCCAAAACTACATCCGGAACGAAACAAACAAACAGAAAACAGTCACACCACATATACCAGCAGAACAAAACCTGGCTACGTTCTCAAAGCAGAAATGCCTCCATTCGTCATCTGGATTCCCAGTGTAAGTACAAAGCTGCCGTGCAAGTGCTGCTTTGTTTCTGGGCATTTACTCTCCAGGGTTAAACTGTAGCTACAGCAATCTGGAATGTTTCTGCTGCAAATCCCTGTCCATGGTGTCAGGATGGAAAAGGAGCCTGACGGGTATAGGGTGTCTTTAGGGCGTCTTTAGGGCCTCACTTACCCCTGGTGCTCCGGGGAAGCTGGGCTGAGGAAGGCCGGCCAGCCCCAGCTTGTTGTGGATGGCCGTGGCTGAGACGATCTGAGCAGAAGACATGGCCGCCATGCTCTGGAGCGCTTTGTCCTTCACGCTTTGATCCTTCAACAACACAGGAAAAAGGTTTTAACCAGAGTATGTGTGTGTGTGTGTGTGTGTGTGTGTGTGTGTGTGTGTAAATGTGTGTGTGTCACGCCGTGAGGGATGCAGCAGAAACAGCTATCAACAGAATACACACGCTGCATGCAGTGACAGGAAAGGGAGCGGGCACACACTCAATTCACTGGGGGGCCTAACTCAGCACAAATTCACATTTTAACAGTAAGAATTCTACTTAGTGTACAAAAGTAACAGATAACCCACATCATTCAAAAAATATTACATCATTTGACACTATTTTTTATACTGGATAAATGTTTCAAGATGAAATGGTTCAAAATTACAAGGTACAAGATTAGGACTAGGGATGCACGACTGGAATCAGCCAAGATTGGAATCAGATGGTTTTCGCTCGAACACTTGCTCTGCCAGTTTTTATTTTGGCTGATCTCTGTTCCGATTTTATTGTGAGTCAAGTAAGAGCACTTTAGCAGTATTTGAATGCTGCTGCTACACCTGTACCAAAATATCGGAGCACAATTATGCATGACTCATTGTGCCAGTGGGCTCTTTGATGTAGTACTACATCAAAAGTACGTTATTAACATAGGAAATACTTTATTTACACATAAAATTATTACCAATATAACACCAGTCTGGCCCATTAAAACCAAATAAATGTTATTTATATTGCAACACAGACCAGTATGCATTCCATGCTGCTCTAAGCTGGTTTATACTGGTTTATGATGGTCTGGTGCTGGTTTAGCCTGTTACCCAAAATGGTCATGATGATTGACCAGCATATCAGCATCCAAAACACAACATATGGCTGCTGTCGAAACAAAACCTTGTATATCCAAAATGATAACTTTACAGGAGAAGGAAAAACAGTTTACTTTTAATGTAAGTCAATGTAGCCACTTTTTTCCAAGTCATTATGGGCCAGTTTTGGTCAATTCATTTTTTTTTTTGAATTTTCATCAATTCAATTCAAGGAATTTACAAACAATTTCAAATTACGTCAAAAACTGAACTCGCTAAAAATGGAAATAGAGATTTTGTTCTGACTTCAGCGTTATGCTGGTTTTTCTAGCATATATTTTCTCGCTGCTGGGATATTTTGCTGGGGGCCAGACATGCTGCCTATCTGGCTATAAACAAATTGGAAATGGAACCAGTCACAAAAATGCATGATCGGTGCATCGCTAGTTATGATTGTGACAATATATTGAGATAAGCACACAAAAAAGGAACAGAGAAAAAGAATAAAAACAAGACTCCCTTCACCAGTTCTAAGTAAACTGGAAGACTAAACTGATCTCAGTAATTTAAGAAAATGTAAATTCTAAGAAATTCAAGTCCTATAACTGCTATAATACTTGCCTAAAGAGCAGATCTTTGCTGCTAAATGATTTAAAAACAACAAAGAACAGAAAAGAAAAAGGGGGGAAGAATACAGTGGTGGTCCACAAAACATGCACCCTATTCATCCCTTCTCTTCTAGTGTATAGGAAGTGGAGGAAGCTTATGTTAAAGCCAGTGAGATATGAGCGCAGGCTTGTTGTATAATACAGGCACTACTGCAGAGCAAAGAGTCGGCTCGAGCACGCTGCAGCTCTCATGAGAAAACCTCTTGCCTTGTGTTGCTTCTGCTATTTTTTGGGTGTTATACATAAAGGAGACAGTAAGCCGTCATTGTAAGTCCTCAAAGGCATTCTGTTAATTAAAAAGAAAAAATGCCCTGTTAATTAAAAAAGCCCAACTATAAACACCTTGATGTTCTGAGAGAATTGGGCTAAAGCAGAGGAATTTCAGCAACGCTGCTTTGTACTATACCAATCTGAACTGAAATGAACTGAAGTGAATTGGAAAGCTGATAACTATTCACGCTTTATTTTTTCATTTACACCTAAATTCAATGCAGAATCGTCACTGTTAACCTCCTCAACACAGATAATTAAAATCACGTTTTCTCTTCTTTCCTGAGGTTTTCTCATGACAAAGCAGCAACAAAAAGCTGGTCAGGGTTTTGGATACGGCTGTGGTTTGAGCATGCTGTCATAATGCGGGCGGTATACAGCGAGACCGAAGCTGGTTTTCAGTAGTGTCCAGCCCAGCAAAACAGTAAAAGGCTACAGAGCTTTGCACAGTCATCCAGGGGCTAAACAGCAAAGCAGCAGTGTAGGTCAGGATGAGTACTCACCAAATTAGTGACCTGTACACAAACAGATTAGACTCATTTTAATCAGACTGCCTTTGTAACGCAACCCAAGCCATGTTTTCCAATTTTCCATGTTGATCAGTATTAAGGTCATTTAACAGTCAGAGAGAATTTCTCTATTTCTTTATAAGGCATTAATGGGAATTCCACTTCCCATTTCTCTTAAAAGCTGCATGATGCTGTAGACACATCGAGCAGGAGGAAAATCTGCCTGGTGAAAAAGCCAGTTTACTTGAACTGGAACGGACACAAGATTGTGAGAAAGCAACTGTCCTCCTGTACTAGTTATTTTCATCTAGGTGAACTTTAAACCCACAAATTTGCAAATGTCAGAAGTGTGAGCCAATAGAAAACCTGAGGCTGAGATTTGGAATATACTTTTTGACAAAAACTAAACAGAGGATCTGCTCCTCAGTGAACGTAATATCGCTTATCACCCACAGTAGCAAAAAAAAATATATATATATATATTTTGAATTGAATACTAAATGTAAACTAATTAAACTAATTAACTAATTAAATCTAATTCAGTGTAAACATAGTGGTGGTGATAAGAACACCGTCTACAATGTCTACAATGCAAATATAGCCATTTTATTTACTATCTAAATGTTTTTATTTGCTGAGTTTTTTATGTTGAGTTTTTATGTGTTATCGATGGTAAAGTAGTGCTAAAACCAAATAAACAGGCTTTCGTTGGGCATTATTTTGTCTTACAATGTGCAGCATGTACCTCCTCGTTGTGAACGATTTTAAAACTATGTTTAGGGCCAAAATCTCATCCCAAAACTACAACAAAACAACATCTCAGACATCAGGCAGCATATTCATAACCATTTCATCTAATAACTCTCTGTGAGGAAGCTTTTAGCTTAAACTCTTACTCTTTTAATTAAATGGTTCTGGTTCCGATCACCACGGCTGTGAACAATTCTGACTCAAAAAGTTTCTTTGGAATGGTGCATTTCACACCAAACCAACACAATTTAATTATGCTGAAAATGTTGCAAACTTGATGGAATTCCCCTTGAAGAGCAATAAAAAATGAGGGAAAAAAGACTGAGCAAAACAGCAACGACAATAAAAATCCCAGAGAAATAACGAAGTGCCTCCCTCAATCTCATCATCCTCATTCACAATAAAAGCCAGAGCCAGACACTGTAGTTTTCGCCTATAGCAAAAGCTCAATCAGAAAAAAGAATCAGGAAAGACAGAAAGGTCTGACAAACATGCCTCATCTGCAGCTCTTAATGCAGCACACTGCCATGTTACAGCGCTCAGTCTGTGCTGAAAGCATTGTTCCTCAGGTTTTAAGGTCAAATCCTTCCATTCATTATCAATTCCGGAGACTCATTAAATTACACACACGCACAGACTGCTTAGAATGCATTGGTGAGTTGAAGTCCAGCTCATAAGCTGAAGTGACTGAATTAACATTGATTTGAATGAATTGAAATGGAATTGACCAGTGAATGCAGCGCTTTCATGCAGGGTTAGTGGATTTTTGGCTTACGATGTCTTAACACGTCATTGAAAAGCTGATTTAAAGGCCAGTTTCATATATATATATATATATATATAGATAGATAGATAGATAGATAGATATATAGATAGATATATAGATAGATATATAGATATATAGATAGATAGATAGTAAAAAGCAGTCAGATGCAAAGTTATAAAGAGTTGTATTAGTAAGTAAGCAGACAGTCTGATCCAGTCATGCAGTCATTAATAACCTCACTCTTATATATGAAAACAAGCCAGTCACAATAGCAACTCAATTTAAAGGGCATCTCAAAACACCTTACAGGTCCCAGTAAGAAACTGCAGCAATAGACGTGCCAGTTCCTATTCAGAATTTCAACTGCTCTTAAATACATATATGATGATGTATGGAATGCGCTAAAAAAATGACCTAAAGGGATGAATAGGCTCATGTCTCTGGTCACACTTTTTAATATCTACATTAAAGTGGTGCAAACAGAGGCTTAAAGCCATTTACTCTCATATCATCACTTTTCAAGGTAACAAATCCAGAACATCCATATGCTGCCACTGGGATGAATACAGATGGAAATACGGTATTAAAGGCAGTGGCCCAGAATATTCATATTCATATCATCTGTAATATCAGCAAACTTTTAATTTACAAGATTTAATTCAGGCTAAAAGCTCAGTATGAATAACCTATGTACCATGTATATGCCTAAAACGGCATGGCCCCCCTCCTGCCACTATCAAAGAGTAAGGATAGACTTGCAATCATTGCTGAACAATGATCCGGAGGGTTGTAGGACAATCTGAAATTTCACTTAGTTTTCAAATTCAAAATAATTTCGTGCACAATTTTGTCACCGCCGTGCACCCCCCCAAAAAAATGCTCAATTAGACCTTTTCAAAGAAACTTGTTATATTTTATAAGCACTTGAGGACAAGGCTCTATCTGGACAGCCGCCGTCCTTGAATGCGTTTTACAGGAGAGAAAAAAAAAAACGCAGCAACTACAACGCTATAAGCAGAGACCACATGAAATGATTCATTTAGAGAGTGTCCTTACAATGCCCGGCAGAGTGCAGCTCCCTCCAAAACAAATACACTTTTGTAGAGAACAGGAAGGAAGCAAGGGACAGACAATCATGCAGGAGAAAAGAAGTTAGAGCCAGTCGAGTGCATACTGAGCAGGACGCCAACACAGGGAATCTGGGTTACGCACAGGCAAGCAGCAGGGCATCCACACACACACACACACACACGTCACTATGGATATGGATACAGGAAGTGTGTGTACACAAACACACACACACACACACACACGTCACTATGGATATGGATACAGGAAGTGTGTACACAAAAACACCACACAGTGCTGTGAAAAAGTAATGATTCTTCTATTTTAGCGTACGTCACACAATTGTTTCAGATCTTTTAACAAAACTGAATATAAAACAAAGACAGCCTTGATAAAACACATAATACAGTTTTTAAAGGATCCTTACATTTATTGAAATAAAAACGTTCCAACACCAATTGGTGCAGCGTGAAGAAGTAAATGCCACCTTACTTACTCAATCAACCAGTTATTCCCTCAGTAAATGTAATGATCAGTTAAAAACCATCATATTACATTTTGTTTGAGGATCTAAATCTAGTTTGAAAAATAGCAAAAAATAGAGGAAATCAGGACTGGGCGAATACTCTTTCACAGCACTGTATTTGTACAGTGGGATCCAAAAGTCTGAGAACACTAGTTAACAAAAGGTTCTGTTTTGCATTCTTTTCTAATTTAATACAGAATTTTTAATTACGTTATATTATCAGCATAAGAATTGAGAGTTGTCTGAACACAGGCTTCAATGGAAAGAATAATAATGAAACCTTTTTGTACAAAGAAATTGGCTTCAATTTAAATAGTGACTTAGAAATAATACAGACTCTTGAATATTTCTCCTTCATTTAACTTATTAGGGATGCACTGATATGCAAACTGTAGCTGATGCCGATATATATTTTTCATGTACAGATCTGCCAAGACCAAAAGCGATGCAGATATCTAAACGTTTCTAAAATGTGGCAGTTGATACTAAATCCGCCCGGATAAGCATTACAGAGAAATATAATCTTTATTTCTGAAGGGTCATAAATGGGAAGGGAGAAAAACAAACAAAACACGCATGTTTTAGCACAGTAGACAAACATCGCCAAAACATTCTGCTCCTCCAGAGTGCAATAAGTAACGTCATCAAATATTCAATAAAACCCAAACATCTGTCTGATGCTGATATTTTTAAGCAAATATCTGCCAATACCAATGTGACATATCTCTGTGCATCCCCACTTGTTACAACTTTTCTTTGCTTTTCTTTTGTTCTGTTGTTCATTTCCAGGTTTCCAGGATTTTTAATGTGGTCTCAGAGGTCTGGACCCCACTGTACATGACATACAAACATTAGACGATGTGAGAAGGAAGACTCGTACATACCTTTAGTTTAGCCTGAAGTTCTCTGGACTTTCGTCGTGCAAGAACCTGAATGTGACTCGAAACCTGTCAACACAGACAAACACCGGTTTGTTTTTGTACAATGCCAGAATGTTGCTGAGTTTAGCATGTTGGGAAGAAAATACATAAAATACATAAAAAATGTGCCACAATTTTTGCACAGGCCACATTTAATGTAATATGTTAAATTTTATTGATTCACACAATCTGTAATTTTCTTTTTAGTTAAGGGACAGAAAGGGAAGAGCCAGGTGAAAGGCTTTGTGTCAGACTACTACTATTACAGGCAGTTTTAGCTGGATTGTATCTGTGAGCGATAACCTCCCGAACTGACTTTACAATGTACACAATAATAGGAGACAAAATGACTAAGCAGTCCTCAGTGAGACTGAAAACAAAACCATTGCTTATTACTGCAACTAGTGTCTTTCACAAAACACAAAACATTGCATGGAGCATCTGCACTAAGAAACAAATGTACTCCACAACATTAAAGGCACACGAGGCACATCATTCATACACACAGACTTGAACAGACTTTTGAAGTTTCACATGCATCATTTACACTGTTAGAACTGGGTTTACACACAGATTAAACAGAGGCGCAGGGCCTGCAGGTCAGACATGAATATCAGAACACTAGAAGTCAGCTCAGTAAACACACACAGGACTAAGAGAACCAACCTGTTTCCTCGTTCTTGTCTTTCCAGTCCTCAGTTTGATGTATCTGGCTATCAGTTCATTACGACCTACAGAGAAAAATAATTGTTGAGTGTGTGGAAAAACACTGCACGGCATGCAAGAGTTATGTGACTATGCATACTCAAAAACAAATACTGATAAAGATTAATTATGGTTACAAATAATTTTATTGCAAATAATATCAAATAAAACCAAAATCAGAAAAAAACAGGACAAAGAAAAAATATTAATTTGTAATGGAAGTTAAAGGAACAAGTCATACTGGACCACTATTCATGCCTATTCAGCATGAAATTATGACACAGTACAAATGTTAGCAGGCATTTTTCAACAACAAAAAAAATAAATAAATAACAAAAATGGATATGCAAGGTTTTGTTGCAGCAGCGACAATATTCAAGTCCTGTGTGTAATATGAACGTCCCTTTCGTATTATTTACATGTAAGCACCTATATGTATTAAAATATTTCGAAGTCTAATCTCAGGAACCAAAAAGAAATGGTTTAGCACCTCCAGTTTTAAACACATACAACATGTTGTTTTTGTAAAAAGTGCTTTGCAAAGTTCAGATTATTTTGTCGATCCTGTAGAAGCTAGTGTCCTGTTCTAGCCCTGTTCTCCTATAGAGTCAGCACATCTGGGTCCTGAAAATGTACAAAAACAAACACAAGGTTGTAACAGGTGTGTGGAGGGACTCCTGTTCTTCAGCTCTCTGAGGGAGCACTTTGTTGGACTGTAAAGACATCATGTGACACCGAGCCAACAAACAGCGTCTGGGGATTTTTCTCCAGCTAGCTTTTACCCAACGTGCCTGTACTGTAATCTCCTACAGCCCAGACCTGGGCCTCCCTATTCTTCCTCACACACATACACACACTGTGTACACATAACGCCACAATACGGGCATTCATGCACGCCCTGCACTCAGATCAAAGGGCCACCAAATGGCCGGCTGTAAGCATGCTTACTGCTGCATAATTCATTCTTTTCAGCCGCTTGAAAACACGCTCAGCTGGACTTGGCAAAGGTGCAAAACAACCGAGAGAGAGAGAGAGAGAGAGAGAAAAAGAGGGCGAGAAAGGGAGAAGGAGAGAGAAGGTAGGCTAGAAGAAGTAGGAAAAAAGAGTAAGAGAGAAAGAGAGAGGGTAGAAGAAGTGCAGAAGATTAGACAGAAAGAAAAAGTGTCCATGTAGAGAAGTGCTTTATACCATGAGTGGTGTAGAGCACAAGCCAAGCCAAGTCAACTAATCAGTGGAGCCGTTACTGCAACTCATTTAAATAACATTAAAAGTTCAATTAACAGACACTGTATATTTCAATATGCATCCCTAACACACTCAGTCCGACGGCTTATAGAACATACCGTGAAAATAACTGATTCATTAGATTTTATTAGCTCTGTGCACTGTTAAATGAACAGTAACTGCAGACTTTCATGATTAGCTATTTGTTACAATGCTGAAAGTAATTAATGCCTAATTAGGGAATGTAAGGGTTAACATGCATTCTGCTCTGTATGTCGAAATTATTAAGAAGGCATACATCTCACGAGAAAAAAAAATTCTGCTCCTGCTTGATCACCCTCCTGTGTGCGGCCAGGGCATTTGCGGCACTAATAAAAAAACAAGTCAAGGTTAATTTATATAGCGCTTTTTACAAAAGGTGCTGTCGCAAAGCAGCTTTACAGACAAATCTGGGTCCGAGCCACCAACACACAAACAAACCAAACCCACAGTCACATTCTGACTAATTTAATATGAGAGTCGGACTAACTAGGAAAAGAAGGTTTGAAAACATCTGCACAAATCTACATAGAAACAGCTAGGCTAGATACAGTGGAAAAGGGGAACTAAAGGGGAATTTTCTGTAAATTTCAACAAATAAGAAACTGAGTGATGTGAGATAACTATACATTCCCTCCAAAACCACATCAGAACCGTCCAAACTCGCCTGATTTTTGTTTTCCACTTCAGTAAAGAAAACAGTGAGGCGACAATCTGGTGAGCTTGCAGCTTAATTCAGTTGTTGAGATGTAAACGAAGTCATTCAGAGAGGTTTAATGTAAAGTTGTCTACTGTAGAGAAACGTACAGACTCAGATGATTTGAACCAAGGGTCTGTCTACAGCGCGAATAAAACTATGATATTTTATTCGCTATCCATTTTGATCATCTATAATGATCAGTGAACCTAAACATGTCTTCTGAGTTTTTATATGTAATGTTGCAAATGGTAAAATAGTGCTTAATAAAAAATAAATACTTTTCTTTGGGTATTATTTTGCTCTACATGTATCTCTTCGACCTGCATATATTTTAAAAACTTGTTTAAGTCTCAAAGTTTTTGCAAAACAAGAAACACTGTCCTCAGGCATCAGGCAGCATATTTCTAACTATTTCATGTAATAGCTTTCTGTGAGGTATTTTAGAGTTAATAAAAAACTATTTGGACATCTGGTAACTATCACCACCACTGTGAAAAACAGTGACCGATTTAATTGACCAGAAAAATCTGTGGAATTCCCCTTCAAAGTTAAAACTACTAATCAAATTCTTGTCTTTTATAGAGATCTTACTCAAAATAAATTGAACTTCATCCTTAACCATGCAGACTTGTACTGTGACAATTACCAACATCTACAGTGTTTAGCAATGCTCAGCAATAATCGACTCTTTCAAGCTAATGGTGTGTAAACTGTGACTAAACACGTTTTGTATGTTACTCAGCACTGTGACTTGTGTGGACTGACCCAACAGACTCAAATTTATCCATGTGGATAAATAAAAGATCATTTGCTTCTTTCTGAAGAAAAACACCTCACACACACTGAAATAGTAGAAGAGCTGACTGTATAGTTTTTCATGAGACAAATATTATGAGAAGAAATTGTGACTAAAAGAGTTCAACATGACATGGTTAGAAGTACGCTTCTTAAATAACCGCGGTTATAGCGACTGTAGACAAACGCTGCGCATTAACGTCACATCCAGCCAAAGACTGGCCACTGGAACTCAAGGAGTTACTGGAACCTGCAGAGGTTCTAGATGACTCAGAAAGCTGATGCAATGCTGGACTCACAGAGCACTTAACTCACCAGGCCTTGTAAACGAGAGGCACAAAAAGCGCCCTGCAAAACACAGGGCTACTAAGTACCAAAGGTTGAAGGCTGGAGAAGAATGCAGTGAAACTGACCAGCTGAAGTGGCCATAGTGAAGTGGAGAGGCTTGTGAGATGGTTCGCATTCCTTAGGATCGGTTTTAAAAGCCTGCTAAAGGGTGAAAGTTGTGGGTCGAGACCGTGCAGGTGGAGGCCAGACAACAAAGAGCCATTTAATATGTCAGGAGTCAAAGATCATCACATCAAAACAGCAGAGAACTGCTCTGAGATGTGCCTGTTCAGCAATGTGTAAGGGATCTAGTATGGAGCCCTGGGGAACTCCCACCTCCCACTGTTCACAGTCAAAACTAAAGCTGATGGATGGAACTCAGGCTGACCCGGAATGACCTGGTGTGACCTTAAAGTATCTCAGGGCGCCTACAGAGGCAAAAACATCCCATGGAGATGGAGTCTGCATAACCTTGCTGTGATAATCTCAGAACCTCTATAAATGCTGTGTAAGCTGGACAAATGAAATTCTGAGAGTGTGTTTTATTTATGTACCAGACACTACTTTGATCGCCCTTACTACACAAAACTCCCTTTCCAAAAAATATGAATGCTAGTTGAAAAAGCTGACCTGGCTTTATTTCCTAAAGCTTATTAATGGCTAATAATGTCTAAAGTGATGCTTGTTCTACTTCATAATGATACTGAGCCTTGGTACCTCTTTTGACTGATTCATCAAAAATAGTCATGTTATTTTTAAACTTTGGGAACCATTAATGCTCCCAGTAGTTTCTAAATTTAAGCCTTTAAACTCAAACAGCAACTTTTAATTGAGCCCATCACTGACACAGAATTCACTATTTGATTCGATACAGCGGCACCTTGATTCAAAATATTATTCCATATAGTCAAATATATCATGTTGTTAATGATATTTTTTTTTTACATTTTAATTTTTCAGTTTGAGCATCCAACATTACAAAAGTACAATTATTTTAAACAAAATCTATGCCTTATAGTGTCCTAATCTAATGTTTTAGCCACAAGCTAACATGTTAGCCCACTTGAGCCACAAGTTAATATTTTAGTCAAGATACCACAATAAATACAATGTGCTGTGAGACAATTCAAAACAACACGTTGTATTGTTACATCCTGATTCAACAGATTCTGCAACCAACAGCTTTTGAGCACTAAGTATCATCTAACTCACATCATAAAAGTGAATAATGCTAACAGGAATAAAAAAAAAATAATAAAAAAAAACTTTTGGCAGAAGACCTTTTCCCCCCAGTAATGGCTTTTCCTGACCCTGCTCGCTTGCTTGTTTGATGTAGGTTAACACAAATGAAAGTCTGGATTTTCATGCAGACTCATTTCCAGTAACTGCTTGTTTTAAAAGATTCAACCACAATCCCATGAAGCATAACAGCAGAAGGGTGATGTCAGTTGCTGAGAGAGAGCCCAGTTTGGCCACACACACACGCAAAAACATACTCTTAATGTGGCTTCTGCATATAATGTCTCCCTCCGCAAAGCTTCAGTAAAGGGAACAGCTGCTGATCCTGTAAGAACCAATAAAAATAGCTTTTTGTTTCAGGCTCTTCAGATGGATATTTCCTTTTGTCAAGAGCTGACAGGACAGCAACTACAACCCTGCCTGGGTGGAACCGTACTTGTTCAAGACATACTTCAATTAGATCCAAAAAAAGGAAGGCAGAAAGCCAGCTAGATTTGAACCTTTACACTACTTGGATCCCAGTCTAGATCATTCCACAGGGACAGATGCATAAACAGAGGCTGACATCAACTCTTTTAATCTGAAACAGTCAAAACTTTATGAAGTCTTGCTTCAATAAATACTTAGTTCCTTGTGCCAGGTCAGCTAAAATCCTGATGATACATTTAAATAAGGAAAGTCCATCAAATTCAATCTCCATAT